ACTGCCAAAAGGTTGTGGGATTGCCCGCGGACGACCCAAGAAGAAGCAACACAAGGCCCGGCACACCGCCTCCTATGAAGACAATCGCCAAGACAAGGCTTCTGATCAGGTGATGTCGCCGGTGGCGTGCGGCTTTCTGCAGTATCCCGTCCAGCTTACTCTTTACCTGCAGAACCATGGACAAAACGGCTCAAAAGTGAAACAAATCCGCTGCCTTTTTGCCAAATCAATCCAAACTGTAGATTCCCGCCTAACCCAAATGTTCTAACAACACCAAATGGCTAACTTATGAAAAAACTGATCATGCAGCGGGTTGGGCAAAAAAAATTGAAACTGAAAGGGTTGACGCAAAACCATCAGAGTTGATGTTTGCCCAACCGGTAGCAAGTGCTCACACCCGAAGTCGAAACAGCTGTGCTCAACTCAAACCAGAAGAAGTCCTGCTACGTCAACAAGTGAAGGATACGGTACTGTTTCATGGGCAAGAAAGGTTCATGTCAGAGTCTAGCATTCTACAGCACGAAATGAGCCTTTGTCTAATCTAATTCACTGGTGGCTGGTTCTGAGGAGGGGTGGATCAACAATCAAGATAGCCCTTCAAACCAACAAACTCATAGAGGCAACATTGCAAATGATTCTGCCTCCCTGCAAAAGGACACCTGACGAGTGCTCCCTTCAACAGATGCTACTGGCACCCTTGCACAGGTGCTCTCTTAGCGGCCCCAACGTCCTTGAACATTGCAAGGGCTCCACGGCTATTATTGTTGGTGTTGTTGTTGCTGCTGCTACTGATGATGCTGTTGCTACTGCTACTGCTGCTGCTGCTGCTGCTGCTGCTGCTGCTGCTGCTGCTGCTCTTGCTGTTGTTGCTGTTGCTGTTGCTGTTGCTGTTGCTGTTGCTGTTGTTGCTGCTGTTGTTGTTGCTGTTGGTGTTCATGTTGCTGTTGCTGTTGCTGTTGCTGTTGCTGTTGCTGTTGTTGCTGTTGTTGTTGCTGTTGCTGTTGCTGTTGCTGTTGATGTTGCCGTTGCCGTTGCCGTTGCTGGTAATGAAGTTGTTGTTGTTGTTGCTGCTGCTGCTGTTGCTGTTGCTGTTGCTGTTCCTGTTCCTGTTCCTGTTGTTGTTGCTGTTGCTGTTGCTGTTGCTGTTGCTGTTGCTCTTGCTCTTGCTGTTGCTGTTGTTGTTGATGTTGGTGGTGATGGTGGTGGTGGTGGTGTTGTTGTTGCTGCCGCTGTTGTTGTTGTTGT